CGCGCTCCTTCACTACAGACTATCGCGCCACCTAACCATTCGCCAAAATGTTTTTAATACCAGCGGTAACAGGCCAAGCGTCGGGCAAAAAACTATCTTCAAATAAAAGAAAGTTACCGGAGGAGTTAAAGGAGAGTGTTTCAGCTTCAAGTTTCAGCCAGCTTGATCGATGGAGTTGGCTTCTAGTGGTGCAGTGACGCATCCTAAAACCAGGGGCGGCGCCAGGGGGGAGCTAGGGGGTGCTGAAGCACCCCCCAGGATTGCCAAAGCACCCCCTAAGCCAGGGGTGGCCAACCTGCGGCTCTCGAGCCGCATGCGGCTCTTTGCCTAGTTTCATGCGGCTCTTCAGTTCATATTGAATTTTATATGTGTGAGTTTGGGGGAGAGACACTGACTCCTGACTAGTGGTGCACGGTGTACCGATACTTGAAAGGTATACCGCGATACCCTGCCGTTAAAAACGTTACGATTCCTCCGTTTAAGAATGACGGCGGAAAGTACTCCGGTGAGAAAGCGCCGTTTAAATAAGAGCTGTGTGTGTTCAGCGCTCTGCTTCCACTCCCTGCTCTGCAGCCGTGCCTACAGTCCCGCCCCTCTCAAGCACGCTCAAGTGCCTCCCCGCTCTCGTGCACGCGCTAGCTGCCAGAGCATGTGAGAAAACGAGAAGCATGGCTGCAAGTGGGAGTGCAACTGCCGCTGCCCCTCGGCTTGTTGACAAAAAAGACGCCAGAAGCTAAATGTGGAAGTATTTTAGCTATTTCTCTGACAGTGAGGGCAAGCCTACGGACACCACGAGGCCTGTCTGTAAGAAATGTATTAATTTGATTTAATACGAATTCTTGTCATTTATTGTATTTATTGTTCTCATTGTTTAAAAGTTTGTGTTATGGTTCTGGTGTGAAATAAAGCACAATAATTACATTTAAGACTGTTTCCCTTTTTTTAAGAAAAGTATCGAAAAATAATCGGAATCGCAATTCTTGACTTAGTATCGAAACCAAAATGTTGGTATCGTGACAACACTACTCCTGACAGTTAAACCTGATATTTAGTAGGTCTGTTAAGTATTGAATGCTGATAATTCTGACGTAATTTGGCCGGTCAAAGTTGTTTGGGCTCGGATAAAATTGCTCCGTTACTTTCGTTCCGTGTTACTTTCGTTCCGTGTTACTTTCGTCCCGTGTTACTTTCGTCCCGGCTCTCCCTACGTGTGTATGTGTGGTGTCAGTATGAGAGGATGACAGCGCGTCTAATTTTGATGTGGCCCAAGAGCCAATCACAATAATACCTGCGATGCAGTGAACCAATCACTTTTTGAGTGGGGGAAAACCTGTGATTAAACACTACTATCCAGTGTTTCCCCTACCATTGTCTTGGAAGGGCGCTGCACCCCGCCAACGGAGCCCCGCGCCCCCCCCTGAAATTCAAGGTGTTTAAAAAATATATATAATTTTTTTTTAAATATATCGCACCAAATTGCAAATAATCTATAACTACTGTCACTTTTCACATTGAACATGGGCTCTTTTATTAAATAAACTAAACGCTTTCATTTGAAGTTGTGAGTTTAGTGTTTTTGACCCTAAGAAACACTGATGCATTAATCAATAACAATAATCCACAGCTCCTCTCTCTGCTCCAGAGGATTTAAAAAAAATATATCCCAATGCCACAAAAATGTACCAGTGACGTGGTTGAAATCTTGTCTCCTGAAAACAAAAAACTGAAACAAGCGGTATCAGTGACTGTGTGTTTGATGTGGCTCTTTGCAGTAACATAGAAAAAATGTGGCTCTTAACCTCTGACTGGTTGGCCACCCCTGCCCTAAGCACCCCCAAGAAATATGTGTTTTTTTTAATTTTTTAATTTTTTATTATTATTATTATTAAATTAAATTAGAAATATTATTGATTACATCAATGCAAATGTGAAAGAAACACATTTTTGACCAAAAACATAAAGCCAACACAGGTGATATGATTAGGCCAATGGCCAGCACCCATTCGATTTTTGACCTACCCATAGGCTAAATTACTTTGTGACACTTGAGTGACTTCCTGTTAGCTAGAGTGCCAAATTATTTGCTAACAGCAAAGTGAACAATTTATCATTTTTTAGTCCTTAAACGTCCACGTGTGGACACTCAATCAAAACCACCTGAAAGCGAGAGGGATTCTGCACATAATAGCATAGCCTCGTGAGTACAAGTAGCTTAGTTCTGGGTCTCTGTGTTTAATTCAAGCTCTGCTCTGTGTGTGTGTGGCACCATTTTGTGTGCGTGCGCGAGCGAGCGAGAGAGAGAGCTCGCGCACCGGTGTGTATCTACTGGAGATCGTTGTGGTTAGCATCTGGTGCTAGCTAGCCAAGCTAACGGATATAAGGAGCTTTTTCAACAACAAGGTGGAGGGAGAACTCTCTCCTGTCAGACTGAGAGTCTCAGATAACCTCAGCTCAGGTGAAGTAAAGGACTCTCAGCGTTTAGATAGTTAACTTTAGTCTAGTTATCTCAGTGGGTCTCAAACGGTTTGTTTTAAAAGGGGAGTGATTTGTAAAATATCTATTAAGAAATAGAAAATCTGTTTACAGTTCTGTTTCATATGTATGTTGAGAGATACAGTATATCCATAGATCTCTTAATGTTGCTCTCAAACAACACCAGATTGATGCTTTTAACTTCAATATTTAAAAAAATCTTCCAGGGGAAGCATGCCCCCGGACCCCACTAGAGGAGGTGAGGTCCCTCCTAGAGGAGGTGAGGTCCACCCCCCACTTGTAAAAATAGCACCTTACCCCTGCTTACACCTATATGCCGTGAGCTGATTATCGAGCCTTCATTGTAACAGTCGCGGGTACACTGTGTGTGCGTGTGGGGAGTGTTGCAGTAGAAAATGCAACTGTAGCGCCCGGTACATTAATGGGAAACCCTTAATGTTTGAGCACCCTCTATGAAACGTCAAGCTACCCCACAGCACCCCCTAGAGAAAATCTCTGGCGCCGCCACTGCCTAAAACCCTTTTATAATCTATCGATTAGATTTATTATTCGAAAATTATAAAAGTAGGGTAGACATGTGGAGATTATCCGGCTGAACAAAACGTGCATTTATCAAACAGGTTTGTTTTCCACAGACCTTATTTCCAGCTATTTTCCAAAACCCTGTGGAGAAATCCCATTGCTTTTTGTCGAGGGAACCAGCAGCTTACTTCCTGGTTTTGGGACGTGTCACTGGCTGCACCTCTCAATATGATGCGGATATAAACAAGGTTTTCTGTCAGCTCTGTACATCAATGCCGACCTATGCTGAGTAAGTAAGTGAAGATTAGACAATATAAAGGTATTGGCGAAATGTCCCAGCAGCAGCTATAGTCACACAGAATATACTCCTCTAATCTCTGCTCAGTGCTTTTTGCCATTGTCTCTTTTCCACATTGTCCTGTCAGAGATGCTCCACTTACAGCTGCACACCTCCAGAGAAACCCACTCTTTTCTCCAGCATATTAAAACCTGCCTCCTCAAACCTTCATCATAAGGCCACATCATGGACTTTGTGATGTGGACTGTCCGTGGCACTTTTATATTTTGCATCATCATACCTCTAACTTATCCACATTTGAAAATCTTTATGTTGAAGTATTTTCAAGTTCCATTTATATTGGTCATCATATCAATATATTTATTTATATTGGTTAATCAGTTATGAATCTAGGACAATTATTTTAAAGCTTAAAATATACCAAAAACTATATTTGTTATGCTTTTTTGTGTTGTAAGATCAACATTTGAGCAGTGTAGCTGAAGTTGGAAGTACCCCAGTGTCAGGGTGGTTTTTTGTTTTATGGGGGAATAAAACTCAGGCCCTCCTACTGTAGTTTGTAGTGAATATCTTTAACACAATGCCGCCCTCTACTGATCTGGAGTCTGACGTGCATTTGAGTGAGTTAAGACTGTACAAATCAAACCTTGCTACCGTTTTCTGGTATAAAAGTGTTCCTTTGTGGCGCTGCAGAGCATCTTTAAATCACTGACTAGAATACATGTTGAGTATTCGTCTCTATTCATGCAACAATCAACATTTATTTAAGAAATTTAATGGTTATTATGGCCAACATGTTAAAGGTCCCATGACATGCTTTTCTGATTATTACCCGTCCCCTTGTGTGTTATGTAGCGTTTTATGCATGTAAACGGTCTGCAAAGTCACAAAACCTCAAAGTACACCCTGCAGCGAGTACCCCTTTAACACAGAAAACACCTGTCTATGCTGCCCCAGAACGCGAGAGATTTCTCTTTTTCTTCCTGGGTACAGTGAAGTGACCTCGCAGATGGGGGTGCTGCAGCCCCCTCAGCACCCCCCCTTCCCGCGTCCATGGTGCTCAGGCTGAGTTCAGGCTGAGTTTTTTGATGTCTCGCTGTCTCGCAGACCCCACGCAGCAACCAGGAAACGACACCAGTAAGCTAGCTCACACTGACCCCTCCTCACAGCAGCGAGCTGCGCAACGTCCAGCCAACACGGCACCCAGACCCCACGCAGCATTCTCATCTGTTTGTCATTACTGGTGTCATTTTCTGGTTGCTAACGCCATTGTAACACATAATCACTGATGTTCCGCTGTAACGGTGGTGGACTCATCAGAACAGAGTGGGCAAACTGACCAATCAGAGCACACTGGGCTCACAGAGGGGGGGCAGGAGCTCCAACAAGCCGTTTAGGACAGAGAGTGAATACGCATACTATAAAGAGATGCTGTATGAGAAACCAATGTGAGTTTGGAAAATTGCACAATATAAATATATTTATCTATTCAATGGAATTATGATCAGAAGAAATGGCCATGACATGGGACCTTTAATGTCCTCCTTGACACAGAGAACTAACAAAGAGGCAGCAGTAACACCACAAAGACATAATAATGTGAGTTGTCACAAGGTTGCCCTCTAGTGTCTCTCATTCAATGCTGTCATGGTGCATTTAAACAAAAAAATCTGTAATTGTTCAGTCATTGTTTATAATGAGAAATGTATTTATCTTGATTCAGACAAATAATATTCTCAACAACTGTAAAAAATGTAAAAATACAATCAAATCAGATTTTTGAACGGTTTGTATGTATTTAACTATCCATATTATAACATAGAGTATGTCATCAGTATTATGCATTAACCATTGAAGCTCTCTTCTTTTTTAATCTGTGTTAATGTTTCTTTTTCATCTTCACTCTCTTTTAATGTATCATCTTCATGCAAGTCCTCTAACTCGCCTTCTCTGCTCGCCTCCCTGCTGACTTTCCTGTGGGGCAAAAAAAACACTGTCATGTTTTTTAAGGCGCTAAGTGAGATTGCAGATGATACTGTATATTAGTGTGGGGGGGGGGGGGGGGGGGGGAGGTAACACTTGACTACAAAAGTCATGGAGTACATATTCTTCAAAACTCAGCTCATCATGCTTATCCACACCAAGATAAAACAGGATAGACAGCAAAGCCAACACAAAGCTGCCGACAACAGCCCTGTTTCTCCATTTACTTTAAATACTGCTTGTTGTTAGGAGCTTTGTTTGCCTTTTAATCCTCTTAAAGGTTGAACAAACAACTGATAGGCTGAGGTGTGTATGAGGCTAAACCTTTTTCAAATGTTACCTCAAGGTTGGAGGAAGCTGAGGCGAGGCCTTCGGTAAACTCCAAGAGCCACTGCAAGAAGGAGATGTAATGCAAGAGGCCGACAGTTATTTGTTAGTGTTAGTTCTGTTAATGGGGTCTATGCTGTTTGAAGGCATAATCAGAACTTTTGAAGAAGAAATAAATAATCTTTTTAGCCAAGAGTTAGATAAGAAGATTGATATCACTCGTGTCTCTAGTAAGTGTGAAGTATGAAGCTACAGGCATAGCTAGCTTCACTCCAAGGCCACCTACTTTAAAGCTCATTGTTTAAATACTTGTATCATTCTGTTCATTAAACCCTCAGTATGAAAGTGACTTAAATAATGTTGCATCCATCAGTAGTTTTTATAACAAAAATATTTGTACAGATGATGACTAAATCAATTGTTAAACAGAGGTGGACCCAAAGTGTGACGAAATGCAGAAAAGTGTAATACAATACATCCAAGAAGATCAAAATAAAACACGTTAATCTCCATCTTTAAGCAAAACTACGCATTTGTTCAGCTTTTCAAATCTAGTTTCAAGTTTCTTGCTGTTGTCTAAGAAATTAAAAAAATATATATAATACATGATTTCCACATATTATACGTGGGAGACTGCAGTGCAGCAGTGCTGCTGGGGCCTGGGTGAGTGTGGAGGAAGATGCAGCTGCACATCTCTTCATGTGGAGGTTTAATTAACTGTGCCAGCGGCCCCCCCACAGACTGCCTCGTTAATGGGAAATAAATGCTTTTATCTCCCTCAATGTGTTGCTCATTTCAGGACCAGCACAAATACAGTGAACACGGTAGTCAGTGTTCAAGCACGAATATCCTAGATATAATGGTGAATATAATATTAATATAATATGTGAGACAAATACCTCACACACAAAGAAGGTTACTGATGGTTCTGATTTCATCCAAGCATCTGCCGGCTGTTTTGTATTGTAAGAGACCTAATCGTAGTTTGGCAGAGCGGAGCAGGAAGGATTTGCAGAGTAGGCCACTTACGTAAGAAGACCTCCAGGGAGAGACATGGACCTCTGTGTCCGAACGCCCAGACACTCAAAGGGATTACTGAAAGAGCGCTTCCTCAGCATAGTCTTAATCAGAATCTGCAGTGGACATCAGAGAGAGAGTCAATGGAAAGAAAACACATGTTCATATGCCAGTAAAGTCTCCACACCAAAATACATACAGATATTTTAAGGTCAAATCTGTATGATTTTAACATGAAATCCTAATTTCACTTTCTGGCTAACCGTCATGGGGTTACTTTTCATAGGGTTCTACTTAAATACCATCCCAAATTGTTTAATTTCTACCTTTCAACTATTGTTTCATATACATATTTAAATTCTACAACTTAAAAGGCAATTTGTCCCTTAATGTGGTTCAGACTTTGTATCATTTAAATGCCTTTTCCTTTATGTTTTTTCAAACCACAGAATATATTTTTGAGGAAAGGCTTTCAAGCAACAAGCTCAAATAAATGCAAATATTGCAACTGCAAGTTTTCTAATTAAAATACTCAAACTAGCAGCAATGTTTGCTCATTAAAGTTTTGAATATTGACCAGAGAAGGATCCCTGTGCGACTCACCACCGTGGAGAGTTTGGGGATGAGTGTGACGCCTTGCTGCACCTCCTCCTCAGTGACCTCCACCGCCGTGCAGTGCTCCTCCTCCAGAGGGAGAGGATCAGAGCCGTTCTCCGTCACCCACGCATCCAGCTTTAATAGCATCGTTATGAAAATGTGAAATTGTTAGAGAATTTTTGGTCTTATATTATTAAACAATATTATTCAGATGTTCTTTTCCAGTCACCTTAATTTCAGGGATGGTGATTCTTGATTCAGGGTTTTTGTCCAGCATCCTTTCAATGAGCCCTTTTAAAGCATCACTTATCGATGGCCTGTAAAAAATAAAACAAGGTCAACATGATTTGATGCTTTTGCAAATAAAACTATTTTAGAAGGTTCCTGTTACAACCCCAGCTAAAGGGGAAACAATAAGAAGGGAGAAAATAGGCTGGATAAACCACATTTTTATTTTTAAATGAAAGTAAAATAACAATGTGTCGTAGAGAGATTACGCTGTTTGAGCGGGTGAAGGAGGGCCTTCTGTACATGTATCAGGTGCCACTGATTGGATAGGAAGAGTTAATTGGGAGCTTCCTGATCAAGAAGGGGAGGCCAGGAACTGTACAAAGGTCATAACATTCCCAAACTGGGCACACTTTCCCTCCTAACAATAACCAAGATGTACAAAGTGGAATGAAGTGAATATGAATGGACCTTTGTCACAGCGGACATCTTTCTTGTCAAACACCGGTGTTTCATTTCTGAAATAGAGCTATTGTAAATTGTATTAATTCCACCTGTGCTTGACAAGCCAAAATATCATCAGTGGAAAAGGTATTGGGAATAATAAAGGAAAATAACTGCTCCGATGCTAACTTCAATAGGTGTGACATTAAAACACATAATATATTACAGTTTCTATTATCATAAGACATCGAGCAGAGACAGAAAATCGGTGAACGGACGAAAGAGAATATCAAATGCTGCTTGTCAGTTCAATATAATATCTGATGACAGTTTTGTATCAAAAGAAGAGGCAGTTGTTGCCAGACCTGACAAAATACTTACACTATAAGTTTTGAACATATTCTGATATAATATTTTGGCTCATGAATAATATTAGATAACAAGCCATATAGCCATGGTGCTATCTTAATGTGTTGAAAGTTGTCTTACGTATCTGGAAACGCCACAGGTTTGTGCTTGATCTTGTTGTGCAGAGAGATGATGTTTACATCATAAAAAGGGCACTGGAACGGGACACACAAAAGGACATTCTTAAAATGTGTAATGAAATCATCAACGTCCTCTTTATTCTACATGCTGTGATTTTTCTTACCTTTCCAAAGACAAAACAGTAGAGTGTGACTCCCATCGCCCACACGTCTAATGCCTGTTAAACAGACACAGTATTTATCAGGGCTGTGTCATTACTGGAAAGCTCTCCATAGGCGTTTGGACGTAATTTCTTTATATTTTCTCACAATGAAACACAGTCTGATATAATGAGTAACCTCAAAAACATAATATTTTTCAGTAATTGCCATTGCGTCTTTCCAGTTGGCCAACAGAAGAAGTTTTGTCTCACCTTCCCCCTGTAGCTCAGCTCGTGTTCAGTCACCATCTCAGGGGCCATGAAGGCTGGCGTCCCCGCTGTGCATGACAGGTTGGCGTCCGTCCCCTCGAACTCGTTGCTCACACCAAAGTCTGCGATCTTGACGTGACCGTCGTCCCCCAGCAGCAGGTTGGAAGGTTTGATGTCCCGGTGGATGATCTTGTTGTAGTGCACTGTGATAGACAGTATGTAAAGCAGGCAAATAAGTGAACGTGTTGATTATCTGCTGAGGAGAAATATCAGCTCTGCCATCATTTTAGGACAGGTACAGAAAACTGTGGGGAATCTTACTTAATGTAAGTGTAGTCATAGATCATTATAACAGCCATAATTAAATTATCTTTCTTTGAACAATTAGTCTTGAATCCCAAGACATAGAGAATACAAGTAGGCCTAGAAAGTGTCATCGTTTTTAAATACAACGCAATGTTTCTTAAAGCAAAGATTACAAGTACCCTTGATCTTTTAACTCTCTGTTTACTTAATAATGAAATCCTGTTAACTTACAGTACTCAATTCCCAGGACGATGTCTCTGAAATAAAACTGAGCCTGCTCCTCTGTGAAAGGGTGGTCTGTGGGCACCTCCATCACCTGGCTGACCAACATGAGAGGTGGAGAAGGAACAAGTCAATGTATATTATACATCATAATTGTTCAACTTCAATTCCCAAACTATCTTAGTTTGGGACTGTGACAGAAAAAGAAATGCACAAACATACCCTTTTGTCATCAAATCGAAGGCTTGAATACAAATAATCAGAATTAAATGAGTCCCCCACTTTATGTTGACACCTGTACTAACCCAGCTACTGTAAAACAGATGAATGTGCCCTACCCATGTGAAGTCCATCTTCATCAGGATCATCAAGCACCTGCAAGACACAGTCAATTCTGAAGTCTCTCTGCACTGGTTTACACAGATATATGAAGTCTAGTTAGTAATTTCTACTAAAGGCATAATTCATTATAGTACTTTATGTGTTTTAAATGCCCTACATCTTGATACACCAATATGTGTTTAATTCTTATTAGTTAACATAGTCTGGTGACATCAAGTCATTCCCAGTATAGCGTCACCTCCACTAGCTTAACAACATTATGATGGTCCAGTTTTTTCAGGATGGCGATCTCCTTGTAGACTTTCTCCAGAGGAAACGCAGGCTTTGGTCCTTTAGAAGGCATTCGGCCTGAAATTATACACAAAAACCATCAACACCCACTCATCAGGAACAAACTAAATGCATTTAATTGTTATTTTTAGACACTCACGAAAAAATCCACACTGCTTCATCAGCCTCTTCTTTGAAACAACTTTCATTGCCTGAATAAAGAACACAAAGCAAGTGACATTATTGTAAAACGGACATGTAAACACAGGGACCATGAGTGCTCAATTCATAAGGTTCAACTTACATAGTACTTCTCACAATCTTCATTATAAGCCAATTTGACCACTCCATATGAACCCTATAGTGTGAAAATAAACAAAGGAAAACAGCTTTGTAAATAATTGTCATCACTTTTGTTTGCTCATTGGATGAATATGATAATCACCTTCCCAATCTCTTTCTTCAACTTATACTGATTCAGCTGGACACAATCCTACAGGAAATAAAAAAGATAAACGATCAATAAATGATCCAACATTTTAAATTCTCTTAAAAGAAATCCAATAGTCCATATAGTTAATTTCTGTAGTTCAAGTTTCCTCACTTCAGCATCTGTGATGGACACACGTTTGGTCTCGATGGTGGGCTGTCTGGGCATGCGGCTCCCTCTCTCCTGCAGGGACATCTTCCTGTCTGAGACCCTGGTGGTCCTCGAGGGCCCGGGCTTGCAGCCACTGGGCAGGGTTATGCGCTGGCCGGCCACGTTCATGTCTGCCACCATGTCAGCCAACTCACCATTGTGCTCCGAGTCGTGCTCTGCCCTGCCCTCAATTTCAACACTCATGGTGGCTATGGCCCTTGTTCCCTCACAGATGAACCACCCAGAGCCGGCGTGTTGAAATCACCAGAGAGAGCATCTCTGCACTGAAATTGGTGGGAACAAAAATGGAGGTACATGAGGCGCCAGGTTTTGGCAAGGAAGAAAAAAACGTTGTAAAAAAAAAAGATGATATCTCCCGTTCTGCTGCATCAATGTTGATCCCTTTTTGAGTGCATTCATTGCACTCAAAAAGAACATTCATTGGTTATCTACCATCAAACAACACAAATAACACAGTACATTTTGTGTTGGCTGCTTGGGCTAAAATATATACGATTCAAAAAGCTGTTCAGATTTGACTACCTAACTATGTCACATTAAGGCTCACTATACCACTTTCCATTTGATCTATCTACCAACAGCTTTAAACAACCTTTGCCAAGGTGCACCACCTTTCCCAAGCAAGTCAATCACAGCAGATTGGGCCTTTTGGAGTCTTAAAGAGACAGGCATTTTGAACATTAAAGCATGTAAACTAATCCAAAAAGAAACACATAATACAAGTATGAACCTGAAAGTTATCAACATCTCTCCCATTTAAAGCACCCAACAATCTCATAATGTGTCACAGATATTGGAACTGCCAAAGTACTGCTAACTATTGGACTAAAATATTCCTTACTCTTCCTAAGATTTCAAATTAAAGTGGCTATGTTAGATCTTTCAAATAACCCATATACTATGATACGTTTTGTGAAGTTTATAGCACAAAAACAGACTTTGTTCAATTGAAAACAGAAGAACCAACCACTTTACTCTGCGGATAAATTAGATATAATCTTTAGTTAGAACAGTACAACGCTAAACGGATGGAGTACTCTTTTAAGAAAGTAGCTTGGCAGAAACAAAAAGGTTAAACTTCTTTAGTTAATGGGCCACAACATTTAAATGGATCAATCAGATGTTCTAAAGTCCATTCATATTTGTCTTAAACAAGAATTACATCAATTTCTTTACAACGAAACAGGTGCTTTTAATGACTGTAATTAGGACTCAAATGCACACACACATTACTGTTAACAGGTGTAATCAGGCAACGTGGAGACACGTGTATTTAGGGGCATAAATCTTTCGCCAAAAAAGGAGAAATACCAAACTAACCTCAGAAATGGTCAGCAAACTACATGTATACTCTTGTCTTACAGTATACCAACAACACGTGGTAGAAACCTATATAATGGATGTATTATAAAGCCTGTGTTTTTGTTGCTTTGCCAAATAACAATATTTGCTGTATAATGTAGGTTTGGCTATATTGTATTACCATGATTAATATTCATCATAATAAAATGCGTTATTCAGTGTATTCCTTCAGTGTTTGAGCCTCTTAGCTCCAAAGGGCAGCTCGAAGCTTTAAAGCTCGGTTGTATTCTTGTCATGAATTGTGTATAAAAGATGAAAACCTCAGATAAGAATTAAGGTAACATTCATAATATGAAGAGAGAAAATAAGAAATATCACACTGTGACACCAGTGTAGAAGGAGACTCACACAGCACAGCTCACGGTGGCCTAAAATACAGCATGGAGTACTGAAAAGCTTCTTATGTAACAAGGAAGCTTTAACAGGGAAGTACAATTTATGATACTTGCACAATAAACAAAACTGTTGTAACATCCAAACATATATTCTTTGAATAAATATATGCCTTTGCAACATGTTAAGCTACAACACATTTAATTAAATTAGAAAATACAAGAGCTACTCTAGTCAACGACAGCCTTAAACTCACCTGAATCTAATCTAATAATACTAATAATGACACAAAAACATTACTGTATCATAAATATATTGTGAATTATTTGTTTTACTCACACAGTGGAGGTGTCCTGTGTTGATATCTGTTCGGGTTAATCTGCATGTTTCTCTCAGGAGTCTCCTCTGTGTCTCAGAGCAGGACTTTCACTGAAGAGCAGCATTGACGTCTTTAAGGATTAACTGAGTCTACATATAGCTGAGCCACAGTTATCCTAAGGCTTTTCAAAGTGTGGTCCGCGGACCACTGGTGGCCCGTGAGCGCCCCCTACAGGGTCGGCGTCATGGGGGGTCATTCGCGGGCCATGCCCCCCCAAATGAGTCACTGTGCCCCCCCCCAACGCAGGGTGGGTAAGCCTTATTGCCGTTTTTTTTTTAATCATATAAATTAAAACGTTTCCACCAAAAGTTTTTTGTGTGAAATACATCAGAAATAAAGAATACACATTTGTATTCTTTATTTATTCTTTATATGAAACACAGCCTGAGGTGTGCTCACTGCTGCTCTCTGATTGGTGTGTTGCTTGACCAATGACCCCGACTTTTGTTTTGTTATCATTACGTGGCTGTGTGTTTAGATGAAAGCCCAGTGGCGATCTGTCCATCTGTTACACTGATTATACAGTAAAGCCATCGAAAATAATACTATATACAGTACAGTACAAGTACATGGGTCTCTGTGTTTCATTCAAGCTCGGCTCTCTGTGTGTGGCACGAGCGCATTTTGTCAGTGCGCGAGCGGTAATGTGGAATATTGTTGTTAGCATCTGGTTAGCTAGCTATGCTAACGGATATAAAGAGCTGTTTCTACACCAAGGTGGAGGAGAGTCCTCTCCTGTCAGACTGAGAGGATCTTATAACGTCAGCTCAGTGAGGTAAGGACTCTCTCAGTGTTTAGATAGTTCACTTTAGTGTAAGTTATCTCAGTGGGTCTCAAACAGTTTGGTGACCATTTATGTAAACAAGTATTTGCGAGGAATAGGCTACCTTTATATGATCATTATAGTTAGCCTATTAAAGAATAAGAGAATAAATGAAAAACGGGTATGAAATACTATAGGACAATAACACAAGAATACCATTTAAAAGGGGAGTGATTAGTAAAATATCCATAAAGAAAAAGTAAATCTGTTTACAGTTATGTTTCATATGGATGCTGAGAGATGTAGACTATCCATAGATCTCTTAATTTTGCTCTCAAAGTGCACCAGATTGATGCTTTTAACTTCAATATTTAAAAAATAATCTTTCCGGGGGAGCATGCCCCCAGACCCTCCTAGAGGAGGTTAGGTCCACCCCCCACCTAAAACATGTTCACATGGATAGGATACTAAATACATTTGCACACTTTTCATATGGTGGCCTATGTCCATATGTTTCTGTTTTGGTGATCGTGCCACAACCGTGCATGCACAGGTCATAGGTGCGCTATAAAATAGCACTACACCCCTGCAATGTGTGTGAGAGACAATAGCTTTACAGCATGTTTTTTTAAATTGAAGTTGCGTTGGTGTTTGTGTGTTGGTTGTTGACGGCAGTGTGTGCCCCCCCTTGGTAAATGATTGCCCCCCCATTTGATTTGTTCTAGAGCCGACCCTGGCCCCCTAGTGGTCCATGAGTATATTGGTAACATTTCACATTTGAAATAAATAAATACATTTAAGTTTTCCGCACTCTCGCGGGAATATCTCCGCAATGGAGCGAACTTAAGTTTCAATCTCGATTGCATGATATAGCCCAGCACAACACCTTTGTCACACATGTTGCCACCTGTTTGTACCATTTTCAGGCGATTTGTAATCTGTTCTAGAAAAGCATTAGGGCAGGGATATCTAGATACTTTCAAGGTTTGACATAATGAATTGTGCTACTTTTAAAGCAAGCAACGATGTTTTCAAATCTGTAATCAAAAAAGCTCCTCAAAAACACTATCGAAGCAGTTCCTGCCGTTGCTACGTTAGTTCAAACCATGGTTCAAACAGTAACAACGGACTATTTTTCTTAGCCGATGCATGTCAATTTAAATCAGTATACAACCATTTTTTAAATCAATAAAATCATTTTCTAAATCCATAAAAGCATTTCAATTAATATTGGGAGTCATGTCGTTACTTTGTCGAGAATGTGGCCATGTAATAAGTGGGATAATGTGCACATTGCACATTCAGATCATGCCGATCTAGATCCCTCCGCTTCACATCGGGCTCCTAATCAGCCTGTCGGTGTTCTTTTCCCCATAATGACCGCGTCGCAGCACATTATCCCTTACATATGATTATATAGAGTCATTATTCATTTGTTTTAAAGCAGGAGGCGCAAAATCATGCCTCGGGGAGGGAGAAAAGAGCCACAGCGCAGAATAAACAGAAGGGCAACCATGGCAACCATGCAAGGGAAATCTTCTTCGCTGCTTTTGTGGCAGACTACAGCGCCACTTACAGGCCTGACATATGAACTACAGCGTCTCCAGCGCTTTCGAGCAGCAATGGCCGGCCGTGGCCCAACCTCTCATTCCCTGATAGGTGGAGAATTGACCAATAGCCCTAGCGCCACTTTACTGACGTCAGTAAAGTGTTTAAATCTGGATCAGTCTGTATCAGATCCGTTGCAGCCCCTTTTTTAGAGATTTGGGTATGGAGGAAAATAGAGAGGGTTGTGTTTTCTGACACTTGGTGAGTTCCCTGGAACACCGGGGACACATATTCATGTATAAAAGACGTACAAAAGTGCATTTTGCATGATAGGTCCCCTTTAACTTAAGTGGTCCTTGGTATCAAAAAGTTTGAGAAACACTGTCCTAAAGCATGCACACACACACACACACACACACACACACACACACCCACACACACACACACACACACACACACACACACACACACACACACACACACACACACACACACACACACACACACACACACACACACACACACACACACACACTATAATACAACACCTACAACAACATATTTTGCTTTTCCTTTAAATGACTAAACTGTATTTAACATATTATTCTGATATACCATGAATATAAGAGAGACAAAGTTTGACTTTTTCACAATATTAATAATTAAGGGGACGATATGCTAAAAAGCATATATTTTACAATAAATTACAAAAAATGTTTGCAAAACATTTAGCAAAATAGCATGCTGTCTTATTATTGTTAATATGATATATTTGTACGTAATTATATAATTAAAATAAATAACATGTAATTAACATCATTATACAATAAAGTATTAACATGACCAATATTGTTTATACTATTAATATTTATATTCCTAATAATATTGTTAATATCATTAACCTGCAGGTACAGAAAGTTAGTGCAAATTGATCTAAGTGTCACTTATAACTATTATTTGAGCTTTTTCCCCCTAGAGCCTGGTTGTCTCTAGGCTACAACCATATAGACAGTAGGCTACAACGAGACACACCATGAACACAAATAGGCCTACAATCCTAAACTGAAAACTGAATGTATTTCTTTATTTCTTTATAACCTTGAATTGGGGCTAAATTATACCTCGAAATACTTACCTTTTGTAGTGTGGAATCCGGATATGAAGCCCAGAAGAAAAGTCCAAACCTAACTGTAACGGAGAAATAATACAAATCAAGTCTAATTGGTTGTTTCAGCATCATACGGACAATGACTCTGCGGTAATGACATAATGTGTTGTTCGCTTATAATTTAGCAAAAGCAGAAAGTAAGTGTGATTGAGGATGTCAACAAAACTTCAGACTATTACCACCGTATGTTTTCTTTTCTCCCACGACGACATTTCTGAAACTATTGCGGGAAACCTAAAATATGTCATCTGTATTTGTCTATGGTTCTTCTAACCGTCTAGTTTCCCGACAGCCCTTAAACGCAGCATTAGCAGCTCCCATAGCGCCCCGGCAGGATGCACGTGGAACGAACAGGGAGCAAAGTTAACTGAAGAAGCAGAGAGCATCCCGCGTGCATCATGTCTCACTTTGCCGCTCTGAGGACCCGAGAGCTGCGCGAGCTGCTGGAGGATGAAGACAGAATAAGACACATCATCAGGGGCAGCGATAAGGTGGGACATTCACGAAATGTAAAATAAAACTTTCCATTTAGTGTTTTTTGAACTATCTTTGGTCATTCCAGGTTCAGGGGCTGCAGAGTGCTGCAGAGAAGATGCTGCTTTCCAATCAGAAAACAGCCAAAGTCGCTCTTTCTCAAAAACCTAAATTTAGAGATGCTAAGTTGCTACTTGCAATAAAGTACAAAGAACTGGAACACCTTCAAAACATCACCCAGGCCAAACAAGAACAACTTGGTGAGACTCGGTATTTGTGTTGTTTTTAGTTTAGTTTTTTAAACTGTGTGCCTAATTTGTTTCATTTCCTACATTTGCAGCAGAACAATCCAGTTTGCATTGTGCTCAGTGGAGTCTCCTAAAAAAAGTAAACCATGCAGAGGAGGAGTGTGAGGTAAGCATTGACCTCAGTCTCTGGTATATTTTCTTTCCTAGTGTTCACATACCACAAATATTCAATTAACATGTCAATAATGTGTGTCAATACACATAAATAATACCATTATGGGTCTCTTCTGCAAATACACTTTACAAAAAGACAAGCATTTTGAGAAAATAAGAGTTCATAACTCCTACTCTGTACAAACACACTAAACGTTTGAACTGCTGCTATGTTTGTGTGACACCCTAGTTTTTTTCAGTCTTTAGAGGCCAATATTTATTTTGTAGAAGCAAAGGAGATGTCTTAGCTGGGGTAACATGATGCCCATTGTTTGTTTGGAAATAATGAGATACTTCTCTTAACAGATGCTGTGTCAGAGGTTTGAAGAGGGGAATACGTTGCTGGCAGATTTCCTGAATTCCTTTCTGGGCTCACGGAAAGCCCAACACATCAGGATGGTTCTGGTGAAGAAGCTGCAGGAAGTTATTGAATTGGAATCAACACAATGGCTCGGTGAGATGCACCCTGGCACTCCCAACACCTGCCTCTGCAGTCTCACCACAGCTGTTGTCTTACCAGCCTGCTGCCACCCTCCATTCCTGCTCCCCTTTGGCCTCCATGTGAACACGGCTCACCGTCTACAACATTTACCGCTTTGTCATGATTACAATGTGTCTCTACGTCCTCGAGTGCACGGACGAGGCCCCAGATGGCCCACAAGACCTGTCCGTCTTCCGCCTCTGAAGGTTCAGAAGAGGAGGCATCAACAGGCACCACAATGAAGTCTAATCCTGACTCAGATACAGGTTTTCACTTCATTCAAGATAGTGGGTAAAGTTGACTTTGCATCAAGCCTTGGATTTAAAACGACATTCCATATTTCCCCGAATAGGTTGTGTCTTCACTAAACGGTGGAGTAACTAAGTGAATTCAGTAAAGTGCTTTACTTAAGTACGATTTTAAAGGGGCTTTACTTGCGTTTTCCAAATTTCTTCTGCCTCACATTTATTTTGTGATTTAAAGATTATTAGTCAGATTAATAATACAAAACATGGTTATATTTATAATATATGAATGTACCCTTAAAGGTAATGATACATTATATTGATCTCTCAATACAATTGACAAGCTACCTGGTATACAAAGAGCTTATCCTTTACCAGCTTAATATTAATTTTATACATTTATTTATTCAAACTTTTGAATGCAATAATTGTATTTGTAAGGGAGTATTATACACTGTGTTACTTACTAAACTATACTCACTTTACCTAAGATCAATTCATCTATGGCTGTCTTTAAGTATTATATTTAGGTGATTGAACGTTTTTCATGTGAAGATATAAATAAACGCTGATGGACAGAGAAGTCTGGCCTGTTTGTTAAGGTAGACACACATCTTAAACTCACACTTAAGACTGTCATTACAACAGAAATCAAAAGGATGCAATTAGTTTACCGAGTAACTTTAAATTGTAAGTAGTTAGAAGTTGCAAAAATGTTTTATGCAAATTCTGTGATTACATTTGATCACATATTTATCATTTCTAGGTTGCTTTGAAGATCATGAATTATTCCATCCCCCCACAGAGACACTAAATGAAACGATATTTGAATACAATAAAAGCACACCTTAAATCTGTTGTATTACTGTAACACTGTGGCACCTTTATCTGTAGGAGCTAGTGAAGAGATCATAATCATCATCTTAAATCAACCAAACCGGTTCAGCAGGATGACAACCGCTTTTTTAACAGCTGATTGCACACAAAGAAAATGTGTTCAACATAACAAAGGTTAGAACATTGTGGTCCCTCGAGTTAGAAAAATGTTGCTCACTGAATTTGAACTGCTCACCTGACACTTGATATCTCTGATGTTATGTGTGCAGAGACTCCTGCCAAGGTCAGCAAAGGAGCATTAGCAACACTTTATTCATCCTAACATTAACCTGCAGTCTCTTCATGAAGGCCAAAGGTCATATTATAGAACTCGTCCCTTGTTGCATATCTTAGTATGTTTGATCCCTATCAACTTGCCTTAGTGCTGTGAGGGTTAGCCATGGGCCAGCTGAGCTTGCCATACCAATTCAACCATGGAGAAACCTTGCTGGCACTACAGCAGGTGATTAGCAAGGTGGAGCGTGTTCAGAGGCTTTTGTTACTCCACAGACTTTAGTTACATCTTTGTCAGCAGCCTCTTTTGTCCAGCAAGACTCAAATTGGGCAATTTTCTTGTCTGTCAGCTGATTGTTTTGTGCTATTGGGCTCTTTCACCTGCGTGTCTCTGCATCGCTTCATAGAAAACCTGGTTATTTCTGCACGGAAAAAACAAACAGTGTGAAGATTTAATATGATAATTATTCAAATGCAAAAGCTGCCCTCGTTGAAGCATACACAAAATGTATATTACATTGAATTAGTGTACACAAGTAACACATGGCACCATACATTTAAAGCATATACTGAATGTAAACACAGCTGATATAAAGAGCCTGAGTCTTGTCTGTAAAATGTCAGCTTTGACTCGTATCTCTAGGTTAGGAGGTGGGTTATCTGCATTGTCCCCCAGAATGGTCACTTGTATAGCAGATTATACAGAAGAGTATCCATAACAGCATCTGGTAGTAGAGCAGGTATGGAGTGATACTTAGCGGGGGTTGTCATGTAATAAATGTCTGTAGGTAAATGCACAATCAAATGTTTTTCCCATTCATACTGTATTTAACTTGAGGATTCTTTCACTGATTCAACATTATACCTTTCCAATATCATACTCTCTTATTATATAAACTATATATATGTATATAGATATTTGAGGTCTTTTTTTGAGTGGTCCTTTCCTTCCAAAACCTAGAAGTGACATTGGCAGAATACACCAAACAACTGTCTCATTTTTATTAGAGCTGAAACGATAAGTTGAATATCAACCAATCAAACAGTCAATTGAAATAAAATAAATTATCAAATGTTCCCCAGGTCCAGCTTCTCAATTCTGATGTTTTGCGTCCTTTTCTTGTCTTTCGTAAGAGTCAGACTAAATGTCTTTCTGTTTTGGAGTATAGGTCTGACAAAACAAGACAAATAATGAGATTGTGACAAATATCTTTTACAATATTTTGACATTTGAAAGTTTCAATATATGCATGAATGTAATATCTATTTTACAATTTGAAATCCGTTGTGACGTTTTTGACAAGTGTGTTGTGTGATGCAGCAGCGTAGATCCCAAATACATTTCCCTGCAGGAGAATAACGTGTTTCTTCTTTTAAAAGCTTAAAGGTGGGGTAGGTAAGTTTGAGAAACCGGCTCGAGATACACTTTTTGTTATATTCCATGGAATGCTCTTAACATCCCGATAGCAATGAATATCTGAAGTGCTTTTGCAAAAAATCCATAAAAAATGGTCCATTTATTTTAGCCGGCCCCGCTAAAATAACTGGATGGCCTACCTGCCTGTCAGCCTTCCATCTGTGCACAGACTTATCTCATGCCCTCATTGGTCATGTGCACGTTCGTGTGTGTTGGAGAGCGCAAACGAGAAGAGCTGCAGCGAGAGCAAAAGTCTGATCATTGAGAAAGAAGAAACAAGAACTGCAAACAAAAACCTATGTTAAAACAAAGAAAAAAGACTTATAGTTTACATGATTACACAAATGATTTGTTTGCAACTTTTAGTTTTATTTTTGAAATTTATTTTATTTTGCTTGACTCAGTTTTTTTTTCTTTTAAACTCATAGTTTTGCTTTATTCTGAGAAAGTGTTGCTTTATCTTTATGATACAAAACTAATCCCATAGAGGAGGGGTTCTGTAAGGAAGTGGCAGATTTTTTCCGGCTGTGTATTTTCAAATTCTAGCAAATCTCCAAAATTACCTACCCCACCTTTAATTGATTAATTGCAAAAATAAACTCCTTGAAACCCTAATACCTAAAAAATGTAAAAAAAGATCTCTTCACATGAAAAATATAATATAATTTACAAAACCCAACGAGACACTTTAAAAAAGTTCTGAATAAAAAGCTGTAACGATGACAGGCCCCGCATCAACACCACACTGGACTAAGGAAATAGGCCTTGTTCGCCATTTTGAAAATGTTTAGTAACATTGCTAGAAAAGATCTATTTGAATAACAAGTCAGTAACAATCCAAAAGGATCTTCCCTGCAGTTATTTTTTAATAAGACACTTGTGCCGTTTAATCCCCGAGAGAAAGCAGGTCAGACCAGTAGCAGAAAACATATTTTTTAGCAGGAGCTGCTTGATACAAACGCTCCTGGCTTTGCCACACAACACTAGTCCAATGCCAACCAGCTGTCAGACGGGTCAGAGTGAAGGCTCCATGGACTGTTGAAATCTCATGACACCTCTCTTAATCTGCTCGAAGCTCACAAACATCACAATGTTCCAGGAAGCCAGACGAAGAAACGAGGGCACAAATCTAAAAAGGAATCAGAGGAATAAAACATTGACTTTTTGCTCTGTCAAACATTTGTACTACTGAATCTGACATGCACACTGTGTTACATACCCCTTATAGAAAGCTGTGGGTCCCTCTTTCATCAGCATGGTTAAAGCACAGTTCATCGCCCCGCTGTACTTCCCAGGCGTTGAATTCATGAAGCGTGTTTTCACCACATCCACGGGAGACGCTACAATGGTGGTACAGAAACCTGCTGCGAAGCCGGCTACAAAGTGACACGGCATGTTGTCTGTTGGAAACAAAGTGTTCTTTAGGGACCACAGTAAGTGATATAAAGTGTCGGAAATGCTGAGGAGTCATGTTAAGTGTCAGGACTGACCTGTCATCAGCTTGTTCTTCAGGATGAGCTCTTTGATGATGTCATACGTCACCAGCTCGGAGCAGTTGACGATGGCATTACGAGTTATGTTTGGCAAGGCACCTGAAAAGACAGTTCAAGATTTTAGATTAAGAGATATCTTTTGATTTTAATTTACACATTCTCCTTGTCATTTCCTGGCTTCAATATTACCCACAATGCAACTCCAACTGCTGACTACTGTGTGTTGTGCAAGTCGAAAAGCTCTTTACTTTCCAACTCCACACCGCTAGGTTTATTTGTCTCAAATTAAATCGCTTGAGGCTATTTATCAAGTTTTAGCAACAACAGGATTATAGCACTTTTGACATTAATTCACATTTCACATTTTCTATATTTCTTTTCAAGGTCTGCAAACAAATGTTGATGTGTAAAATGACTAAGGTCCCCCTTTAAAGGTCCCATGTCATGGCCATCATAATTCCATTGTTGAGGTCTACTAAAATAGATTTATATCGTGCAATTTTCCAAACTGACATTTGTTTCTCATACAGCATCTCTGTAAAGTATGTGTATTCACCGGTATTCACTTTTGTCACTGTGAGCCCAGTGTGCTCTGATTGGTCGGGACGTTGCGAGGCTCGCTGCTCAATGATCTGGCTTACTGGTGTGGTTTCCGGATCGAGGTAAAAACAATAAGTGTGGCTTGATATTGAGTAAGAAAAAGGTTTATAAACGCTGTGAGAATGGGTCTGCGGAGAGCATCTCTCCGCGATCCCAACTCGTCTATTACCAACCAGGGAGCTCTATGCAAGTCAATGGGACTCCCTGTTAGTTGAAAATGTACGCTAAAGGTCCTGGTGTGTGAGGAGCTCCGCGGATTGGTCCATTTTGGTCCCCGGAAGAAACAAATGGAAAAAGAGAAATGTCCAACGAGGCGTTCTGGGGCAGCATAGACAGGTATTTTCTGTGTTAGAGTTTTACTCGCTACAGGGTGTACTTTGAGGGTTTGTGACTTTGCAGACCGTTTACATGCAGAAAAAGCTTCATAACAACAAGGGGACAGGTAATAACAAGAAAAGCATGACATGGGACCTTTAAAGAGGGGCTTTTTTCAGGTTCAACATTATTGACAAAAGATGTAAAAATATAGGTGGAGGATGTTAACTTGATTTCTAAAATGTAAAAATCACTGCATTGCTGCTTAACATTTGAGGATTTTCACTGACTTTGCAACAGGAATTCTTTTTCCCAACATCAAGTTACCTTTCCAGAGCCCTCTGACGCCCTCGTCCCTGGCGATGGTCCTGTAGGCGTTGAAGGTGCTGCTGTATCTCTTCACAGAGCCACTCTCCAGCAGGCAGCTCTGAGCCTGGAACCTGATTTTCACCACATCAGTGGGCTGCGCGAAGGTCACCGCCATTGCCCCGGTGGTGCAGCCCGCCATTATCCTAGTCCCGATTCCTGCACCTGTAATACAAGCAGAGGTGCTTGTTTTTCTCTGATGCAACACAAGGATGTTAACACAATGCTTAGAGACTGAACAAGGGTGCAGTTTTGATAATTATTCAATATTTTATTGAATTAGGACGACACATAGATAGAGATCCCAAATTGGGAAATTATTGGGTTAAGGGAGCAGAACTGTGTTTAGGCACTGTCTGGGATTTATATTGTTTGTTTGTAGCCTTTATTTAACCAGATGAAAGCCCCTTGAGATCAAAAGATCTCTTTCTGAAACAGGAATTTGACCTTTGCCCTGCATCCTGGAGCGGTCTTTCTGTAAATGGCGAGCCCAAACGTCCAGCTTTATGATGAGAAATGTGTTGTATTTATCCTACAGCATCAGTAATAGGATGATGCAGTCTAACTCGCCACACATGCACTAAAGCAGGGCTTCTCAAACTCCGGGCCGAACTACGAATCAATCCGGACCGAACCCTGTGTCCCATTATAAAAATGTTAAATTATACAAAAAAAAAGAAAATAATTCTAATTCTGATGTAAATTACTGTATATTTTCTTGTGTCTGACGCGTTGTGAAAATGAACGTGCATGTATATTTACTTGCGTGCGCGAGCATGACACGCATTGCAGACCACAAGTTAACCTAGTTACCTTGACTTTCTAATGCTTCTAATGTCTTTTTTGCCGAGGTTCAAGGCATTGGCTACAGACAAACAGTGCCATTTCTCCCACTAGTTCAAGCCACCATACTGTATACGTATCCTATGAGAGCTGCTCATTGGCTCATGATGACAAAATGGCCCAACTTTTGAGAGAGTGAAACGTCACAGATTACCCAGCATGCCTGAGAAGTACCCGTATGTGCGCTCATAGAGCATGCGCAAATGTAACCATAACCCCCAAAAGGCTCGTTCACATCAAGCACGTCAATTTACGTACACGTAACAGCACCGTGCGTTCTGGATTGTTATGATGGATTTGATATTAACGAATAACGAGGCGGTTATTAGCAGTTAGCAGCTAGCCGGCTGGGTTCCTCGGGCGATATCATATGGTATAGCTAATTCATCTGGGTCAAAACGTGTTGTGCCCACATGCAAAGGTTGTAAACTCTGGCTTATCCCTGCGTGGTATTATAGTAATAGCAAACAGCAACGTTCAACTCCTTTAATGGTCTATATTGCAAGTGCAATAAGAAGCTACAGGGACGTTAATCTACGTCGGTAATATTAACTTTATTTAATACAAGATTTACATCATACAGCCCATGTAGTATAATATTTTACAAATGATGAATTACAGCAAACATGTGCAATATATCCATTATTACAGCTCCGTGGCAGTAAGGCGATATGGGTTCGTTCTTATTGTGCATCCATGGGTAAAGGTAAAACTCATGTAGTACTGAAGTTTGAACACGTCACATCCAGTGGCGACTGGTCATTAGGGGCACCTAGTGTCAGCAGAAAGTATTCAAAATAATGATTACAAAAAAATGCAAAAAAAATATATTAAATATATTTTAAGATCATGTTTAATCATCTGATTCGTCTGTACATTGCTGTTTTAGTCTGTGTTCTTCTAATTAGTGTCTACAGTGTGTGCCTATTGAGCTGTTTAGAGCCATGTGGGACAAAACCCGATCCTGCCCCTTACTGTCTAAGTCAATGGTGACTGTAAAAACTACACTGCGCATGCTCAGAGTATTGTCCTATTTAATGTGTGTGGCAAACAAATAATGAACACAGGGGTTAGCTGCCATCCCCACCATACGTCATCTCACATCATTCAGAGCTGATTGGCTGTAAGTACGTGAGCCGCGAAAAGTGTGGTGTGTGAAGAGCAGACGAGAGAGCTGCAGTGACGCATCCTAAAACCCGGAAGTAAGCTGCGCATGGCTTCCCTCGACAAAAAAGCAATGAGATTTCTCCATAGGATTTTAGAAAATAGCTCCAAATAAGATCTGTGGGAAACAAACCTGTTAGATAAATGCACGTTTTGTTCAGCCGGATAATATCCACATGTCTACCCTACTTTTATAATTTTCGAATCATAAATCTATTGATTAGATTAGATTTATGATAGACTTTAGAAACTAGAAGAACATAAGGAGGACTTTTACAAAAAAGTAATAGAGATTTTTGTCCAGAAGGATAGGCAAATGGACTTCATCTTCAAGTCAAGGTAAGACTGCAATTGTATTGAAAATGGGATCTTACTAAGAGAGAACAATTCAATATTTAAATGATAAAATTACATTTTTTGGGTATACTTCTGTTGAACTCTCTGTTTAAAATTAATTGAAGCATCAGACAAAAAAAGCTTTTGAAAATAATATTATATTTTGATTTAGGTCAAAATATAATATTTGTAAACCTGAAGAGTCAGTGCCAGTGCCTCACTAGCCATGAACCTCACTGCAGAAGCTTATAGACATCTGAGTTTTTTGTGCCCCACCACTTTTGTACATATAAAAACGCCACTGGTCACATCACATGAACGTGTCGGGCGGCGCGGTCCCGTGGGTTAGATGCCCGTTCATAATGCAGAGGGAAATAACTCTCAGAATAACGTTATTAGCACATTTTTACAACTTGAGGAACGAATGTTTTTAATAAGGGCTATACAAGTGTTCATACTGGGTAGTTCATTTAGTTTAAAATTATCCAACGATTTACAGACCACTCTTTCCCCATGTAAGTCAATGGGAAAAAGTGTTTCCGGGCCTGGCAACCAAACGGAAGTGTAGTACCGCCGTTTGGCCACCACGAATATTTTCATCTGAGTCCGGCGCACAAATCGATATGTGTATGTATTTACATCAATATGTTTTAAAAAATAAAATAGAATTTGCTAATATTAAGTGATAATATTAGGATTAGTGTGAACAACTAGTTTACATGTTAGGCTAACAGTGCCTTGGTTAAAGAGCCTGTTGCTGTTTATTTATAGCTTTGAATTCTTTAAAACCAATATTAACTTCTTAAACTTGTATGGTAGTCAGGAGCATCACTTTCTAATGTTTATTGATATATTTAGAGGGAGGGGATCTAAAGTAATGCTTTAAAATTCAGATTAGATTAATGTCTACCATTTTCTTAAATTCATGGTAGTTTCAGTAATCCCATGGTAATTGAGGACACAAGTTATCTAAATGACTAATGTCATCTTTATGGCTTTCAGAAAGGACAGGAGACCGACAGGTGACTATCAAAGGACTAGCAGCAGCAGCATGATGATGATGATGTTAAATGTGTTGTTTTAGGAACATCCATTGCAAATACATGGAATTCAATAAACATTGAATAGCATATCATGCAGTTTGTCTGTGCCTTTTCCTCCGTGTTGTCCTGGTTTGCTGTGCTGCCTCCTAGTCGCCACCATGGTTTGCTGTGCTGCCTGGGGATGCTCAAATCGCTCCGAGAAAGGAGTACGAATGTACAGCTTCCCCACTGACACAGAGCGGAGGAAGCAGGAGCAATTTCACGACCAACAGCAAAAAAATATGTAATTTATATACAAACACTGCATTTGCACTTTTTCACAAAACGAAAACCACACCATTGGGAAAGCTTAATGTTTTGTTTAATACAAAAAACAGGGAAAGGCTTGAAAAACACTGAGAGTTGAGACTCAGGGTGCAGGGTGAGGGTTTCAGTGCAGGTATTCAGGCTCCATTGAATCCCCCTCTGGTTCTTGTGCTGAAAGAGGGATAAACAGACAGGAGAAAGGGTTATACACACCTATATAGCACACCTATTGGATGGGAAATTGCCTTGGGGAGATAAGGTGTGGTCTTTGTTCCCAACTGAAGTTATGGAACTTTATTATTTGTGAGTTTAACAAAGTATGACAAATGGCATCAGTAACATATGTGATATGAATTTCTATAAAGTTGTCTCACATTCTTGGTCATATTGTATGTAATGAGTATAACATGTCCAGTAAGTATAAAGTGTTTCCTAATACTGTGTATTCAACCACTATGGAATATGTATGTGGGCAGACAAAACTGAGTTGTTCTGTGTGTGAAGTAACCTCAAGTCACTCCGCAGGCACATTTTGATGCAGACCAGTTTGTCAAGACAAAAAAGGGCAAGACTAGGCTGAGAGCAGAGGCTATACCCACCATCTTCGTGCATCGCCCTGTGGTCAAAAAGAGAAGGGCCCCTGCACCACGATTCACCCCGGGACCTGTATCTACAAAGCCCATAGCTCATGATCACAGCGATAGTGTGAAAGGTGACACAGGTATAATAAGTATGAACTCTTAGTAACAAAAGTAATATTTCTTATTTTTAAGTGGTATACTATTTTAAATGTTCGAACATTTACAGTGCCATGTCTTCTACTTACATTAGTCTCAACGATTGAGGGAAGAAGGGAAGGGATAACTGCCCTCCACCTGCCAGAGGAGCGCAAACAACAAAAACAAGCAAGGTGTCCCGTCATGTACCTGGAAGTTTGGGTTGGCAAAATGGAGTAAGAGAGGGACTTCAAAAACCTTGGTGGCTGTCTACTCATGTTGTTACAGTTGTCTTGGTTACAGCTCTCAAGTTTTTTTTTGTGCCATTTCCACATCTTTAGAAAATATGAAAAAATTGAAGTGAAATCAACCTCTTCTCTGGAGAACAAACTTCGATTTCTCTGTCTTGTCAGTTTGCAGTCTTGCAGTTTTGCTCCTCCACCTGTAACATCACTGCCCCTCCACCTGCCATACAGTAGGTTACTAACAAGATTACTTATATATTACAGTGATATAATACATGTTTAGTATGCTTACTTATATAAAACAGTAGTATTAAACTTACCTTGTGTGTTCACTCTCACTTAAGTTCCTCTCCCTTTGCTATCAATCCAAAATCAGCTGAGCTGCAACATTATACACACAGGTAATAATCAACATAATCACAAGGACACAATATGGCTCTGCTAAAAACACTCACTCTTACACGCACCAAAGTTATATTTATCTAATATTTAACTCCCTCCACCCCCGCATA